CACGATAACAATAATAATGGTCTTGGTTTGTCGTTCAAAGTTTTGACGGGCCAATTGCATTGGTCTGACGAGAAAAAAATCAACTAAGTGGTCGTACGTGATAATAATACTTTTATATAACCACAATAGCATTGACCATACTAGTTGATTCGAGTTTTCAATGATCAATAAATGTGTGTGATTAAATTCTAATGTATGAAGAAAAAAAACATTGCACTATAATTTGGCATAACTCGTCAACATTTGTAAATAGTGTGATCAATAATATATACATGTAAAATATTATATTTAATTAATATTAATGATATGAATAGATAATATTACTTACTAGTTATTATATAGGCATCTTTTTGCCTCATTTATCACTCAATATATTTTAGATAGCTACCTATGTTACATCGAAAATWTCCTTAAATAATATTCAAAAATCACAATTTATTATTAAAATAAAATTATAAAATGTCCTCTCTCKTAAAAAAAACCATCTATAATCTCCAAAATTTAAAACGTTTGATGTAAAAAATCAATAAAATCGATTAAATGCAGGAAATTATTTTTAAAAAAATGCGGTATCTCTAAAAATGTTTATTCTTTTATGTCTTTGGTAGTAGGTTTAGTTAGTTTTTGAAATCTTAAACTGATTACGTATGGTACTATGTAGTATTTACATTCATGAACAAATAATGCAAGTTATTTAGCTTAAAATAAATATAGGTAGTTTTTTTAACGCAAAGTTTGAATGAGATWCTAATAAGTTCAGTTTTGAAACATTGATTTTATGATTTTTGTGGTCTATTTGCTGTTTTTTAATCATTTATTTGTAAAAGTTTTTAGTTTTTCTTTCGATATTTTCAATTATTCGCTCCAATTAAAACTTGTACACACAATTTATAAATAGTATTGTTTAATTTTCTTATAATTAATATTTTACATGATTTATTTACACGATGTTCTTTAATGATAGCTTTATTTCAAAATATTTTAGACATAGTTTTTAAGTGCATTCTATTCTGCATAGCGCTATAAAAAAAATCAAAAGGTTGTACTTATTATCACTATATTAGTTTATTAAGTAATATTCAGTAATATCTGATCGATATTTAAATTATTTTACTTTTTATTTCTGTACTAAAATAGTATGTWCATTAATAATAATAATAATATTAAATATATATAACATATTAATATATTTTAGTAATTTATAATAATTTACGTATTATTAATAATTATTTAAAAAATTCTATSTTTAAAATAATTTTATTATTTTTATTATATCCGTCGATTTACAGTATGAAATTGAATATCCATGCTTATAAAAATATACCATTGTTGAATGTTGGTATCGTAAAAATATATTTAACAATAGGTACTCGTTGCTTACAAACAGGTTAGAAGCATCACAAGTCGACTGAAAAAAAAATATAGGAATGTCTAAACAATAAAACCAATTAAATCTTTAACTGGATTCGGTATTAATTATCACAAGATATTTAGAGTTTTCTGTTGTACATTTTAGTATTATTAAATTTAAAACGCATGTATTGAATTGTATTAGATAATTAAAAATAACTTGCACTCATATTTCATTATTTAACCCTTCATTCATGCATACAATTCTGCATGTGATAGTGATAGCCCACCTCTTGTGATATTATAAAAATAGTTTTTACCAAATACAATAATTATTCTTAGTTATTTTAAAATAAATGTTTTTATTGCATTTAGAACATAAAAATGCGTACGCTTTCCCGACCCCCCTCACTTATCAATTTTTGAGAATTTTCTTTTGGCAATATTTATTACGTTATTTGTTTGAATTGTTTTGACTTGAATCAGAATTTGTTCGACATCAGKTAGGTACCCCGGAAAAATAAATTTTCYCATGGAATCTTTGAAAGGGCAGCCGTTACTCAGAATTTGATTGATATCCAGTACTTGTTTTTTTTWTTAAATAGATTAAGACAATACTAGCTAATATAACAAAAAAAAACAAACTCATCATGTTAATTTATTAAATATTGTTATAAAATATAACTTTAAAAATAAAAATATCGTTTATTAATAATAATAATAATAATGCATATTATACTCGTAATGCAATGAGTTTCATCTTTCAAAACAAAAAATATGTACTAAAACAAAGAAAAATAACACTTATAAGAACATTTCTTATTATAATATATATTATATTTACAAAATAAACTTCCGTAACTTAAATAACATGGACCTAAATATTGGTTTAAGAAGAACTTAATTATTGCCATCATCATAAAAAGGAATTTTAATTGATTTTCCGAAGGTATTTTTTAAAATATAGTATAATACGTACCTACATTAAACAAAATATATATACATATATATTAAAACATAAGTTTTTAGTAATTACCTACCTAAATCTATATTAATATATAAAGTATAGATCAATTTCTTKACGTAAAATAATTATTATAAAGATCTAGTTTTAATTGTATACGTTTTTATTATTTTAATTCTACTTTATACATAGGTAATAGCTATTTTAGTATTTTACAAGGTTCCAGGGTTTAGAGATGAATAATATGAATATGGTAGGGAATCAAATTTTTTAATTTTTAATTAATTTAATTATTAAAAAATAAGCAGCTCTTACTCGGTATTGAGTTGACATCGAACACTAGAACTTGATCAGTTTGTCTGCATGATATTAGCTTACCCTAATTATATAATATGAACAGTGAATGGAAGTTGTAGACATTCATTAGCTTTGGAACTGTTAACAACCATTTTTTATTATGTATTTTAACAGAACTGCACTCTAAAATTAATTGTTTGTACTATGAAAAGCGATGAAATTATATTTATATTTTTCTTTATTTACTTGAACTTCATGACTTATTTACGCTTATAAATGCAATTTCTTGAACTCCAATATGTTAAAACGCATAGTATGTCATAGTAAATTACCTTTTGTCATGTATGTTTATGCCAAAGTAATTAACGTATACGCATACGCATACATGATACATAYATGAAACAAAATTATTAAGTGTCCATAAAATTTTAACTGCAGGCACATGTCCTTGTTATTAACTTACTTAAATTATTGTATGTATTATTAAAGTCACTTATACAGAGTAGTTTCGCAGTTATAATAAAACGTTGAAAAATTGAATTCAACAAAATTTGAGAATAAAATATAATATAATATTCATAATGATAAAATATTTATTTAAATTACTTACTTATGTATTATTTGATGATGAACCAATTTTACTCTGAAATTATGTTCTTTAATTTTTGACATTACCGAAGATGAAATGCACAATTTTTTCATAAATTATACCTATCTACCTTTAAAAAGAATAATATTCTTCTAAATTTAACTAACTATAACTGTCTTGGATGTTTTATGTATTTTACAGTAATTTGTTATGTTTTCACTTATAACGAAGATTGCAGACCATATACTTGTTTTATACTATGGTCTAGCTACTTGTCTATTCTTATATTCTGTCACTTTATTCTCATTTGTGCTTACGTAMTATTCACATGGTAATCACTACATTTATGAAAAATTAATTATATTAACATACATTATAACTCATACATTAAATCGTAGAATTACGTAGACACATCATTCAACTTTTCTACAACACATAAAATATGACTCGATATTTCAATAAAAATATAAATCAATGAACATGATACATAAAATGTACGTGTCTGTATGAATATTACCGTAGTAAAAAAATACTAAATTAGCTCACCAATAAAGTACAATCTGACTTTCAACTTTTCCATGCTAACTCTTATAAGAAGTACTTGTCAAATATTCATCACGGATTCGCGGTGGCTCTAGATTATGGAAAGTAAAATGCACTACTTAATCAAGAAACATTCTGTATTCCTCTTCTTGATACTCCAACATGACGTTTTGTAATATCTGATRTGGAAAATTGTGAAGTATATCCATATATTATACTACGGAACACTTTCTCTCCAAACCAATCCAAAAATGATCTAAGAATCGATCAGTTCTTAAAATGATCGAACTTCTCTGTRCGAAATTGTATTTCTCTAAACAAAACAAAAGTAATTATCAAAAATCTTCCTAATAAAAAAACTCCTAGCCATGGCTGAATTATAAATCTCTGTTTAAAATGTATCAAATAAATCAATCTTGTTTATGACTTCTCTATTCATCATTTTACTTTGACTAGCTTATATTCTACACAACTAAAAAAAAATAATTACAAATCTCATAAAAAATCTCATAAAAAATCCTGGGAAGAACAGTTGAAGTCAAACCTGGAAAGCTATATGTATACAATTTAGTCTATTAAAATCACTTTTGAACATTTTTGAAAAAGTTATACAGGTACTCGATATCGCTAAATTACCTAGATTGCACAAATGTGATTTCAAAATTTCAATTTAATTTTAAARCACACCATTCCACATTCAACAACTTCTGCATTTCACCGGACATTAAGTAACTCATTCAAAAATCACTATCACACAGTTACCGTTTTTATTCATATTTCCAATAATGATAACTAATACGTTATAGTATACCTAACCCACATGAATTAATTTCTTAAGAATTATTCTAAAATTTAGTATTAAATATTTTATAGAGTATTAAGCCTCTCTAACCTTAGTAAGTAYTCYGTTATAAGTTACATTATAATCGCACTTAGTAATGTCAAAATATGCATTTTATTATTACTATATTTGATGTAAATATATATGCATGAATATTATCAGTAAATATATCAGCTGATAATTAAGAGGTGATAATTAAATATCTTATTACTTAACATTTTTAAGTGTATTATTTTAACTCTTCAGTAAAAACCAAATTAATAAGAAACAATTCTAATATTAATTATTTATAATACATTAATTTATCTATAATCTTAAAATGTATTCGTAGCTCATAAGCGTGAAAACAAATACAAAATATAATAATAGRTAATCGAATAAACACCAATAATTTGTATATAATTGTAGTAATTGAGTCACAACATATTTATTATGTCATTAGCTATTAATACTTTGAAAAGATTTAGTCTCTTTTCTAAACGATTTTTAACTATAATTATTTTGACACCATTAATGAATCTGTTGTATATTTGATATCGTATACACCAGTTATCATCGAGATTTGGATCAAAATCGAATTCATTTGTATCCTAAAAAAATAATTATGTACAGCACATATTAAAGAAATTTGATATCATTTTTACGACTTACAATATAATTTGTTCGAATGCTTCTTTCACGAAATCCCAATGGTTTAAATTGGTTACCAAGTGATATGACTTTATATGAATACAATTTGTCCTATGTTTTATATTTATTTATTTTGTAAGTGAATTCCTATAATTTATTCATCTTACCTTGTAAGTTTCCCATTCAGTTATTCGCTTGTCGTAAACAGATTTTTGCTGTTCGTAGTTGCTGTTTAGTTCATTTCGAGATATTTCAAAGCAATCTTTCTTATGTTCATCGTCGAAACGTTTTGCACTTACCATAAAATCGCTGTAGTATTTTACGTACGTATCTCGATATACTTTGTCTAACTCGCCAAAAGGATCTAGATATCGTAATAAATATTTCAATAACTTATAGTAGATAATTATTATATAATCTATAAAATGTATTAGATTTTTAATCATGGCTGTATCATATTATGTTCGTTTAAGCAAACTACGTACATGTCATAGTTATAGCCTATACATAGACTACCTATTTGTCAAAACTATACAATTTTAATATTAGAACATTTAAATTCCAATATGTTATTGATACTAACTAAGCCATTTATACGAGTCGTCTTCCAATATAGATGGTTTATCATTCAACATTTTATTCAGTGTCAGACGGTTAAAAACCTTAATATCCTTTTCTGCCTTGTCTGAATGTGTTTTATGAAACAAATGTAAATGTTTTTCTTTTTTAATTGTTTCATCCATTTTTATATTTGTAATACTAGAAAATGCATTAAATTTATATAATGGTAATAAACTAATAAACAAAAGTAACGTCCGGATATAATAGTCTTATTAAAGAAATAATTAACATAAGAATTTTCAGCTGGTTTCGTTTTACGCGTTTTTTGCAACTTGCGTATTTATATTAAAATAGTTATACCTATTTTTACAATTACCATGACTAATGTTAATTTATCTATTTTAAATGTTTTACGTGAATTTGATTATACTTAATATATCTTGATTTCAACACAAAACGTGTTACAAGTGTTTAAATTAATGTTACATTTGTATTCTCAAAAAGTGTAATCAATCTTTTTATCTAGACTTATTATTCGAATGAATTACCAGAAAGTCTTAGGTTTTGTAACTGCAGTCAAAGTAATAACTTGTGGTTTTTGATTAAATTCCGTGAGGTACAGTACTAAATCAATACACAAAGTAATATACGATTGAGGCGTGTAAACGATTGTGACGTTTGTTGGATAATCACAAAATACTTCACCTGAAAAAAATCAATTTTTATTCAAACAATCTCTTGTACGACTATTTGAAACGAACCACAAGTCGGATTTACACATAAGCTCTTTAAACCGTGTGGGATAAATATGCGAAACTGATAAGGTTTTGATTTAGGAGCCAGACTCAACTTCCTCGTAACGCTAAAAAATAACATTTTATAGATACTACATGAAAATTTACCATACTATACTAACCTCATTCCTATATTTACGTTTCCAAAATCAATGGTCTTTGGAAAACAGGAACTCATTTTTGGAATTGCCCGTAATTCTATAGCAAAGTCTCCTTGACCAGTAGGATTTTTTAAATGTAAAAAGCTTTTGAACTCTTTATTTAAATAAGTTATGAAAGTAAACTGCAAATTCCAAGATCTTTTGGGAAGAATTGACACCTTAAAAAATGTATTTTCTGTCAAATTAAATTGAATGTTATACACTTATACAGTAACCAAGACATAGGATAGGTATATTTGATTACATTAAAAAAATGTACATAACTCACGGTAGTTAGATTGGGGAATTTGAATATTTTATAATTCAAAGGTTTTATTTTAATGGTTTGTGGCAAATCAGTCATGTTCAATAATTTTATTGTTTGCATATATGTATGACCAAGCTTAAAATATATGATACATTTCTTCGGACTGATACATATCGATCCATTCGTCAACTGTTCTACACAAACCAAATGAAAAAATAATTAAAATATTATTTAAAAACGTTTATCATACGTATGAATTAAAAATATGTATAATACTTCGTGTTACCGTGTTCACTATTGGTGAGTACTTTCTTCTTACTAGCTTGAATATTATTCATCATTATAGATCCCTGAAAACTAAATGCTATATTTTCACAATATATTAACTTTTAATAAGATGTCTATGGAAACGT